CAGAAAACCGAGGAAATCTGCACTTAGACAGAAGGTAATTATATAGATAATCCATACCTATTAAAAAATTCCTTATCCAATGAGAGAATAATAGATTTTTTTTGCCAAGTACTATACTCCTACCAGCCCCAAGCACCATCACTCTTATCACTCTAATAGAAGAGTATATGACATGAAAGCAAGCATGTTACTTCAGCAGCTCTATGAGGTGTATCTAAACTTGGGAAAACATAAAATATCTAGAAACTACAGCAATACCTATTGTTTAAAGGCACAATAGGAGTTGAAATTGATGATCTAACACTGATATTCCTGAAGAAAAACGTTACAGGTATCTTGGAATAGAAAATCACACCTAAGCATTCATGTCAGTTATACTGCTTTGAATCAGAATGTTAGAGAAGTCCCAATTCTCAGTCTTAACCACCAGGTCCCTGTCTTTCCATGACAAAACACTAAGTAGAATCCCTTCTCTTACTTGGGTTATTTCCAGACCCTGATAAAAGAAAGTAAGCATTGGCAGGTGCAAATCTTTTGTTCTGCAGGAAACAGAAATGTGCCTTCTGAAAGCAGCTCAAACTGGAGAGTTTTGAAATAACAAGTCCAAAGGTTTCCATGGACAAGGCAGCACAGGCAGCCCCTGTACAGCTCTTACAGGATTCTCACCAACACAGCTTGATGGGGTTCCATTGGGAAGACCTCTCAGTCTCTGCCTCAAGCTTTTGGTCTCTTCCTCAGATTACCAAAAGACAGCCAATTGTGATGGTGGATTTTCTGCTGGAAGGAAATTTCATGCTGGACTGAGACCACCAACTCATTTCACAAAAAATAAGATGGCAGTAGTTTTTTTGCAGTTGCCAACTTAAACCGTATCTGAGCTACAGCCCTAGATGTGAAAGGCTCTGTAATAAATTACCAATCTCCTGAGCCATCCAGTTAACAACATGCTGGGTTTTCTTTTAAGCATTATTTCACGTTCATAAATTTTCCAAAACTGCAGAAAGTAAAACATTAGAAAAATTTATATTCTTGATGACAAATCATCTGCTACCTGTATGCCTCTTTAAAATATAATAAAGTTGGCTAAGTAGTAACATGCACTATGTATTTCTATATTATGTTTTGTTCTACTACTTCCTGAGTCATGACAAAACCACCAGAATCTTTCTGACTTTTTCCCCTCAGTGCTGAGGCTTTTGTTCCATTTCTAAAACCAGGAGCAAATTAAAATCATCCACACAATCACTGCAATAAAGCAAAGTTTCCTTGTACTTCAGTTCTGAAAATGCTATTTATCAGAGGGATACCTTTTGCCTTCCATCCAAATGGAGAAACTGGCACTCTGTAAAAGCATTTATCAGGCGTGAAAATAGATGTCAAAAAACTAGTCCTTGACCACATTTCCAGGAACACTATTAAAGCTATTTCAAAGACAAAAAGTGACTCTGGAGGAGTAGTAAGGAAGCCAGACTTACTTTACTAAACACAGAATATCACTGGCAATACTGACTCATAGGAATGAAAGGTCAAACTAACGATACTTTTAATTACTGAAATTTCATTCGTGCATAAGAGTATCATATATAAGTGGCACACTTAGAAGTAAATTGAAAAAAAAGAATGCTATCAAAGAGTAAGAGCTACAGACAAGTGGATCAGAGAAATTACCCAATTTCAAGACAACAGACAAAAAAGACCAGTTACTGTGGGCCTGTTTTGAAGGCAAATATATAACAATTGCTGTGATTCACCAGTTGAAAAGAATTTGCTGGTTAGAGACACTAACTCAGGTTAAAAATGTTTTCCTTATATTGTAGTTTGAATGAACATTAGTCTATTTGCAGAAATCATCTAAAGTTGGTGTGGCTATATTGCTGGTAGATTATAAACATTAGGAAACAATAATGGCTTTGAAAAGTCACTTTCCTACATTAAACTGATAATTTCAGAAAAAAATCTTTTTTTCAGCAATTCTTACAGCCAGTCATTCTCCCCCACCTACACCAAAGCTGTATTTAGTTATTTCTCTTGCCTGCAGTGATACTACTACAGGCATTTTCTGTATCTCAACGTGCCTGTTATTTAAATAACCCATTTAAAATAGCTTATTTAGAAAATCAAAAAACATAAACAGCCATCTGATAGACTTGCTCTCATAAGCATATCAGATCACAGCCAGCTTTTAAAATCCACTCTACTAATCAAGGCCATCTGACTGCAGTGTAAAAATATATATTTATTAGTACATGCTCTTAGCACCAAGGCTTTTGTTTCCCAGTGGTTTTTCATTAAGAAGAACAACCCTTGCCCTCAATCATCATCCCAGTGCTAAAACCCATTGAGGATCCACTTACCAAATCCCTGTGTAACACCCAGTTAGCATGCAGGTAGTGAATACCATCTAGGATCTGATATAACAGCGACTTCACCATTCCCCGAGGTAACTGAACTGGTTTCTTGTTTGCTTTAGAAGCCCTGTGAAACTTGATTATATGCTGCAAAGGGGAAAAAAGAAATGAAAATAAAAGAAGTGCAATGTTTACACAAAAAAGATTGCCATCAACTACTTACACAAACTTCTTAGGGTTTTTTCAACCTTTCATGATTTGTTTTCCAGACTAGAAACATGGGCCTGAAGTACTAAAAAATTAATACTGTACTTAGTACAGTAATCACCATCCCAAAGCAATCTCTCAAAAATTAAGAGAGATCTGGTTTTTGCTGTGGTTTAACCCCAGAAAGCAGCTAAGCCCTGCAAAGTATGAGGAACACAAAACCAATATGACCATCAAAGCACATTTCCTTTTAGATCACTGATCTTTCAGGTTTTAGAGGTATTTTTGTTTGGGGAGTCTCTTTGTTAAGATAGGCTGATATCCTGTACATCAAATCACAGAATTACAAGTGTATTACCTCCTACATTATTTTACTTCTGAGTTTTCTCCTACAGTAATAATGACTGTAACACTCAAGACCTAATGCCAAGCAGAAATTTTTGCAAACTGTATTAGAAAGTTTATACATTTAAATCAGAAGCCCAGACTAATTCCTCCTTTATTTACTATATCCTTATAGCACAGTACTCTCAGAACAGAAGCTGTTGACAGAGCAAGTCTACAAATCTGTCCATCTGAAAGACAGCCACCAAGTCAGATACAGAAAAAGAACCTTTAGTAATTCTAAATTTAGACACAAGGATTGATGTCTGGCACCGAGGTGGAGCCCAAAAGGATGTGTTGTCTTAGTACTTGAGCCCCAGGTATCACTGAGTTCAACAACAAGGTGTGCCATAGTCATGGTAACCATTTCTATGTTTGCCTCCTTCAAACACAGAGGCAATTTCTAGAACAAACTTCCTAATATATTCACACTTTTTTTCTGTAATGGCTCGCACTTGTGTGATCATCAAAACAGCCCAGCTCTTGCCTACCAAAACCTGGCACCAAACTTCTATCGTACGCTCTTCCTACGTTCGTGACTCCTCATGTTCCAGGTGCCAATTAGCTAACCCAGCTATCTAACATCCTTTGGGAAACTGCCTTTGCTCTCCTGCTGCAGCCCAGCTCCATACAGCCTGCCCTCCTCCGCTTCAGGCAGCCAGGCTTGGCTTTCCTGTGAGGAACAGGCACACTTCTGCCCTGTCAAAGGTAAAAATGGAGATAGAGCAAAAAACCATTGATGAAAATGGGACAGTCCCTGCATTCTCAGCCAAGCACCACATGCAGGTGCATCCCTCAGCCTGAGCCACGAGTTTTACCTCTTCTCACCTCTCACTTCCACCAACTCCAAAATAAATGTTATTTCCATACAATGGACAGAGAGAAGTGACTCTTCAGAGACAGGCAGGAAAACAGATGGTTGTCCCAGACTTCTTTTGCTCCTTCTCTAATACACTCTGTATTATCTAGCCCTTTCCCAGTCTTCCTTAAAACCTGCTGTCCTAAATACACAAGTGCTGGAGCACTTGATCCATGGCCAGCTCTCTGGGGCACAGAGCCAGCCCAGTCATTGCAGCCAAGTCTGTCACATCCAGATACAGTGAGCAAGCAGGAGTTGGTGCGGCTGGGGAATTCTGGGTTCATACAGGTACGTGCATGTAAGCATAAAGCTAAAAATCGAGGGTCACTCCTAAGTTAGTTACATATAAACCAGTGTTTAATTAACAGAAATACTTCTGTGGTGATTTAGGTTAAGTATGAAGCAAAGCAGAAATATATAAATACAAACAAGAACAGGTCATAGTAATAATAGCCCTAACAAATATGAAGCCTTGTAGCACATTTTGAAACAAAAAACTCTCAAACACTCCTAGACCTCAGTAGCTCAGCATATCATAAATATGGGGGAGTAGTGGAAAAAAAGAGTGCTCTTATTTTTCCATCATATTAAAATAAAAACAAAACAAAACAACTGTACTCCACTTCCTCAAGATGATGTTGTTTCTGTTTATCAGCCTTAAGAATGTCTCAACATTTCAGCTGTCTGCTACCTTTTTTTGTCTCTAATTTTATTTTGGTAACAAAACCTCAATAACAAGTATCAGAACTTCCAAGACATTTAACAGTAAGAAAACATGTTTCATTTAGCTTAGCAGAAAGAAAACAGACACACTAGCTCTTAGGCAAACCAAATAATTCCAAACTATAAGGAAAACAATTTTTAAAAGAAATTAGTTTTGTTTTGATTTTTACTAAGTGACATGCTGACAAAAAAACAACTCATGATTCAGTGTGCAATTCTCACATGTACACATCCATAAAAATTTTCCCTCGTTACAAATAGTTTCTGTTGCACCCTTTGATATGAATCTTAGCAGTTTTGAGGTTAGCATTTGTAGCACTGAGAGCAATCCTCCTTATGTATGTCAGCATTAATTTGAGGCACACCCACCTTTTTTCAGGGAAGTCATGGCTGCATGGTATTTTTCATTTTACCATGGCACTTTATTTTTTTAAGCATTCCAAACGGATATTAAGCTTACAAATATTGAGTTTACAGAGGAATTCAGTTTGTATCTTAAAACAAATTCAGTTTGCCTCCAACAGGTTTATATTTCAAAGCTGTATCTTGCAATTAGGAATAAATAGCTTTCCTCCCAAATACACGGAATTTCTGCAGACGAGTTGAGAAAAATTTTTCCCACTGAAATGTATGAATTAAATATATAGTGGCACTATTCTCATTACATTATTCATGGATAACAACCAATGCAACTAAAACTCTGAACTGTCCGGTTGAAAAAAAAAGATTTTAAAAGGGAATTCACCTGCATAATCAATACATTTTCCTGCACCCTACTTTTGCTGTAATAGGGATTTATATCTCCATTTATTTAAGTAGACTTCTAGCTACTGAGAGCTGATTTCTGCAGATTTTTTGCAGTTTTTTATCTTCTTAAAGAGATCACAGGTTTAACTGCTTGGTGTGTTTACTTAACATTTTCCATTGCTTTTCCTTTCGTACTGAAAATGCTTCCAACAAACATGGAGTGAGCAGCTATGTTGTGCTTAAAATTTGTGCATCTCCCCTGACACTGTCCCTCTGCTGCAATTAAAACTCAAAGCCTGGTACCTACAAACAGTTCACCTTACCCAGAGGTCATGTTCAGCATAGTCAAAGAGAAGCCACACTTTCCTGTCAGCATGAGAAAGGAACACCTTTTGCAGAGAAATGACATTTGGATGCTTGAGCTCCCGCAGCAACTGCAAAAGAAAAAGTTCACAACAGTTATATACATACATCCAGAGCTGGTATACTTAGAACACAAACAAGAGAAGCTGAAATCTGCAAGCCACAGAAAACCACTTTTTTAATGAAAGAACAAGTCATTAGTTTCAAACCAGAGCTGAAAGCAGGTCATAACCCCCTCAGGGCATTCATTTCCTACACATTTTCTAAAAGCTCAACTCCATGTAAACCTCATTATTATCCGGGACCAAGATGACTCTGCAAACAGCCAGCTGTGGCATCTGCCCTTTTGCATAGGCTGTAATCTTCAACAGTCCTATTTGGGGTACCCCATTTTCTCCTCACTTCCAATTATCTGAAAAAGCTGCATTTTCATTGCAGTCAGTTGAGACTGAATGGGATGGCTGATGTAGAGCCTGCTAATGCAGGCAGCTAAACCAAGATGTGGTTTGCAAGCTGGACTCTGCTGATCTACAAGGTCACCACTCTCCACAGAAGAGGGTCCAGCTTCTGCAGCACAGCACAGACTACACTAGTAAGTACACCCACAAGATTACACCAGTGAATATATTCACAGAGAAGCCGCCCATAAAGCAGCACCCAGTTCAAGAGAAAACTACTCTGCATGCACAAAGGCTGAAAGGTAACCTGGCACAGAGCTCTTGAGCTGAAACAAATCAGAGTACCAACAGCAGAGACAGCCCTAGCAAAGGGACACACCTGGATCTTCTTTCAACAGCAGTGAGCCATTAAACCAGCTCAGCTGCTTCAGAAACTATAGTTTGAACCCCACCAAAAGGAAAATATAGATGAGATACAGCACAACAACTGAATGCAGACAGTATCAGTCTATTTGAGGTCTAATGGTCATGTTACAATCATACTGTACTCATTCAATTGCTAAGAAAGAAAAAAAGCTTTATCTAAACAAAATGTGGTTAAGTATGACTACCCAAGACTAACCAAATTCCTGCCAGTTCAGTGTTCCAAAAATGAGGACATTTCTCACTAAAAGGAATTGTTAGGGCTTTTTATTTTTTAAAAAAGTGCCAAGAGAAAATTAAACTACTCTTTGGATACAGAATTTACTTCTGAGACAATCTATTTTCAGTAAAGTATAATTTTCCCACTATGTAACAGAGGAAACAAAAAAACCATAATTCTTTTCTATTTATACCTTTGTCAAAAGTGCTAAAATTTTAGCTGCTACTGAGATAGTAAAGTGGAAGTATATATACGTGCGCTTGTTTCCTTCTTTCCTATTTCATTTGAGACAGACTTGCATTATGACTCACTGACCAGTCTTCAGTGTGCCATTTCTTGGAAAAAACGGACCTATAACCCACAGAAGTTTTACCTCAAGTACAAGATCAAACAGGGAGATAGTGCAGAGAAGACAAAGCAGAAATAGAAATCAATGCAGAAGGCTGTAGAGTTTCAGCATGGTAAAACTCTAGGATTTGTAAAGCACTATATCGAGGCACTTTAAGGCAGGATCTGCAAGAAGTATGGAATTTTTTAAATGCCTGTAATTGCAAGAAAGAGTAAGATCAGTATGGGAAAAACCAAGAAATGCTTATTTGCACTTTTTTATCAATTACAGGTGGGGATCGCCTGTAGTAATTTAACCCCAGGCAGAAGCTAAACCCCACAGAGCCACTTGCTCACCTGTCTCAGTCAGACATGAATGGAAGAACAAATATTCAAGAAAATTTGTGAGTAAGACAGTTTAGTAAGTAAAAGAAGAGGAATTAAACACCACACCCACAACAAAAAACAGAAGCAATGTGAAGGTAATCATGTACAACTTCCCACAAGAGAACTGGTGCCCAGCCAATCTCCATGCAAAGGGAGGAGGGGGCAGGAATGGGACACAGAAAAAGCCTGAACACTATAAGCAATAGCCAAAGCACTGCTGGCTTATCAGCACTGCTCTAGTCACAAATTCAACACACTCCACCATACAAGCTGGTGTGGAGAAGATTAACTGCATGCAAGACAGGCACAACACAGCATCAAAGACCAGCCTCTCAATGGTGAATGATGTTGCAGGGTTTAAGAACACACTGTGCCAGTCCTTAAAACAAAGTAATTTTTCTTTAATCAGCATAAATTCACATTTTAAATTTATGTTAAAAAGTTTAATTAACTATTCCAGAAGATTACATGACAGTTCAGCAACTATTTGTCCATACAAAAATATTGTATTTTCCATGACCTAATGGACACATCTGTACCAGAGACAACAAAATATTCCTTGATGACAGATGCGGATACTAGTCAGAGCTCTTAAAAATAATGTAATGTTCCCTTTTGTCTGATCCCATTTTAAATCTCTCCTACTCCTTATTCCTGAGGTAGCAGCTATCACCTACCTAAAAAAATTCACCCTCTTCACATGAAATATGATTCAGCTTGGAGAACACACAGAAAATGAATCATCAAAGCTGGACACAAATATGAGAAACTTTTAAGTAATGCAGCAGAAGAATTCCCTGTGTAGTTAGGCAACATATATAGAATTCTCCCTTGTTTGTTCTAAGGTAGTCTTTGCAGACTTTGACATTGACAGCATTCTTTGCTTTTTTCCTCACCACTCCACCTTGATCATTCCCCTTCCTGCCTTTTATTTTTCCTCTAAACATCCCAGCAATCCTCTCAAATACCCAAAACCCCCACTATCCTCCTAAAAATTCCACATCAACCTGCTTTCCTTCTCATCAGTCCCAGCTGACACTCACTCATCAGGAGCATACCTGAGAAGTTCCTACTACAGCCCATCACCATTGTGTCAGGAGTTCTGGCCTTTGCCACTGTCACTGGCAGCACCTCTTCCTGCATGTGTGCACTCAGTTTATCATTCTTGCTGGTTTCTGCCTTTGCCTTTTGTGCTGAATAACTGTTCAATCCACGTTCTTTCAGTTTGCTTAAAAAACCTGATGGGTTCAGTCAAAGCCAGACAGCCACAACCCAGTAAACAGAAAGGCCAACACATATCAGCAAATCCATCAGCATAAGGAAATGATTGCTGCAGTGGGACAGATGATTCCTGAATCACTGTCTTGGAAAGGTTGCAATGTTCACAGTGACAAATGCAAACAGTGTCTCTGAAGTATCTGAAAGAGCACATGCAGATGATAATACATCACATGGGCTGCAAAGAGCACTTGCAGCAACCTCAGTCTCCATGAACCAGGCCTCTCTAGCCCATAAACCACATGCCTTTCCTACCAGATGACTTGACTTGTGTCCAGCAGCTGACAGAGTTCAAACAAAGACAGTTCAGACAAAGCAGACTGCAAGAAACATGCCGTGTCTATCGCTATGATGCCTGCTAATGATAAAGGGTATTTTTTGGCCTAATGACTTTTGTTATCTAACTACTTCTGTCTATCCTAGCTCAGTTCTGTAGAACACAAAAAGAAAGCAGACAAAAATTATGTGTTTGGCTCTCAGTAAATTGCCTTCCTTTTTATTTGCATATCATATGATGATTCAAATCTATTTCCTCAGCCAGAAAGGCTTCTCTTATATTAGTTAGACTGGGTACCCCCTTATAAAGAAGGGACATCCAACAGACCTTCAAAGAACTAGAAATCAACAAATGACAAAGATGCCAATACATCTGTTTTAGAAGCCCATGTTTGTCCCTGGCTGGTCCTACCCAAGTTTTCATACTGTTCAAGATCCAGCAAGGGAAACAGCATCCCTTTGCGCAGGTCGTGGGCTCAAACTAAGGTCCCTCCACCTCCCTCTTGAAATGAAGAAATACTCATTCCACACAGCCATGGGTCAGCTGAGGGACAGTAAATTAGTGTCCCAATGATGTATAAAATTCTTAAATGCTTCAGGAACAAGGAGAAAGTGAAGTAAAACAGGATGATATTAAATAATCAACAGCAGCAGTAAGGAAACCAGGAAAACTGCAGCATGACTAAGGCCAATCTTTTCTTGCACTAACAACAATTATCTTTCACATAAAATATGAGCTGAAGTCAGCACAATTTTTATGAACCTGACCTGCTTCCTCTCGTGATATTCCTACATTTCCTGTGAAGCTCTCCGTGACTGCAACAATTCTCACAAGCTAAGACAAAGCACTCTTCACGTAAGTGAGGATTTCTAGCTCTGCTGCAAATGGCATTTACCCTTGCTCTTGACACTTGCTAACCTTTGTGGTCCATAGGGAATGTCAACCTGCAAATGCAGCCTTGCAATACTACCATGCTTACTTCTATAATTCAAGCTGCACTGGGGAGGTTAAGATCAGTTACCAGGAAAAATTACTTCACCAAAATGCTTGTCAAGGACTGGAACAGGATGCCCAGGAAAGTGGCCGCACTGCCATCCCTGGAGGTATGTGGAAGACATGCAGATGTGTTGTGCTGAGGGACGTGGTTTAGTGCTGGACTTGGCAGCACTGGGTTAATGGCTGGACTTGATACAGGTCTTTCCAAACCTAAATGATTCCAAAATCCAGAAAGAGAGCACAGTTGCTAGAGCAGATTGCCAGGTAACCCAGCCCAGGAGTCTCCCCTATGTCAGGACATCAGCTATCTTAGAAAAAGCAGCTTCTTGCTCTGACCGCCTTCCTTTGAGTGCCACGCAGCACCTCTCCCAAGTCTTAGGACAGTCAGAAAACTGACTACACACAAAGCCATTGGCAGTATCAACCAAATACTCATTTAAACAAAAGTCACTGTTGCATTACGTGGCTAGTTTGATAGCATAAATTCCAACTCTAATTGTCATCTCATGCTTCAAAAAGGTTCTCATCAGTTTCACCAAGGGATCCAAAAACAAACATCATACATTAAGCCATGCCATGGCCCTGAAATGCAAAAATGGGCAAGCAGGGCCTTGGAACACAAAGCAGACTGCAGTTGATGCAGAAAGGCAACTTTCAGACTGGAAAGAGAAATGACAAATTTTACTCATCCTGTAACAAGTAAGGTGCCAGTGGAATTACTGCTACAACAGATGAATATAGGCGGCAATAAGCCATTACCTGAAA